CTCCATTTTCAGATAATAAATTATACTGTAAGCTCTAGAATAGAAAAATAAAACTACTATCCCTATGGAAGTTGAAAGTCATGAGAATTCAAGATGAATGTCAGCAGGGTCAGGACTGGATTGGAGACAAAGGGATCCAGAAAATGTGAAAACATCACAGCTACCAGAGTCGGAGTCGGGATTTGAAGCTTATCAGTTCAAGATTCTAGTCTTTTTGAGTTACTAGGTTCTAATTTAACATTCAGAGATATTCAATAGATTTCGACAAATACTCAAAACTGCTGGTCTCGGCCGAACACATAAATCTAACACTAGCTCCACCCCTAACAGCTACGAGTTATCCATGACCTAAAACATATTTTAAACCCCCTGACCACAACGAAGGAAATTTTCATTGTATTAATGGGATTCAACTATCAATATGCATAAAAAAGTTGATGGCCTAAGCCTCAACATAATTTTTTGATAACGGGATTCAATTGACCACCCTTGGGCCAATATGGCTCGGAAACATTAGTATGAATTAAAATGAATTATTTGAATGAATTTAGAGATTATTAATGACAATATACATAATACCCTGCCTTTGAATTGTGAAATATATCTAACTTGTATTGTTCAAATGATTTACAACAACAACAACAATCTCAGTGTAATCCCACAAAAAAGGGGTATGAGGAGTAGTGTGTAAACAAATCTTAGAGGCTGTTTCCGAAAAAATGATTTAGAAGAGGAAAAAAAGGAAAAAATAGAGGAGAAAATTTGTATCTTTTAGGGAATCATTTTTGAATGGAATATAGGATGATGAAGAAAGAGGGCACCCTAATAATCCAAAAGAAATGAAAAGAAGAATACCTCCCAAACAGTCATGGCATCTTGATTGATCCCCTTTTTACCTTGTTGACTATACATTGATACAAATTTAGAAAATCCACATAATCTGACATTGGCACCCAAATCTCCTCTTCCTACTATGCTTTGATAATCATCTTCAATCTCTTTCTGCTCCCCATTATTTTCCTCATAATAATTATGATGATTATGATTATGATTGTGATTATGATGTTTGCCTTCAAAATTTTGCCCCCTTTGACAGGTACAACATGCACCCATCTCTAATTAATTTGCCTTAATTAATTCAGCCCCCTTTGAGATTAGATGGAGATCAAAGCCATTATCACATGTAATTAAACAAGATTCTGCAACAAAAAAACCTGATTTAGTTTGGACAGAATTGTGGATATGGAGTATATGTCTGATTCCTTAATTAAATAGGGAAATCAGAAAAAAAGAAGAGGAAGGTGATGAGCAAATCATGAATGTTGTCTCATAAGAGAACATTCATGATTTGTAGAGGAAAAAAAATGAAACATGTAGTAGTATAGAGAGAATATTATTAGCGTAAAAAAATAGACCTCATTTTTACCCATGCAAAGGTCATAATTCTTTTTTGTTACACCAATATGGCCAGTCAATTTGACTCTTACTTGCCATTTCAGCCCTTGATTTTCTTTTGTCTTTTTCCTTTTACATAATAATTAATATTATAGAGTAAGAAAAACCCAATTTTACATAAGGAAATGGGTGAACATAATCTCTTTTGGCCTAAAGTTTTTGTTATCTTAATTTTTATGATTTGGCGTCCCTAATTAATCTTCTAGACATATTTGTAGTACTTCTAGAACTAGACCTTGACATCATTCCAGTAACTTTTGCCCTTTTATTATTACTCTTATCAGTAACATACATATCAGCAATAACTCTTTTCGAACGACGAAATAAGCTAACAACGAGAAAAAAAATGCAATAATAATTCTCGCTATGTGTTTATTAAGCGATAATTTAAGTCACGAACTTAGATTTCCTATATAAGCTATTTTATATAGGAAACCAAGTTTGTAACTTAAGTTGTCGCTTAATAAAAACATATTCCTTGCGTTTCAATTTAGATGAGGTAATTTGATTCGGCACGGAATTTAAGAAAAAGAAAAGAAGATTTTTGAAACTTGTAATATTAAAAGTTTAAGGGATAAAAGTTTTGTGGGCCCATGATATTTATGTGATTATACAAAATTCTCATTAAGGGTAAAATAAATTTGGAAAACTACCATCTATTTCCATTTATAAGTAGCTCATTACAAAAACTGGCCAATTCCTAAAATATTACCTCCTTCGTTTCATATTATATCAGGTAGTTTGACTCGGCACGGAGTTTAAGAAAAAAGAAGAAGACTTTTGAAACTTGTGGTCTTAAAAGCTTAAGGGGTAAAAAGTTTGTGGGGTCATGACATTTGTGTAGCTATAAAAACTTCTCATTAAGGGTAAATGGGTAAAATGAAAGAGTTTAAAGTTGAATTATTTTCAAATTTAGAAATGTGTCATTTGTTTTAGAAGAGAATAAAAAGAAAAGTACCTCATTTAATATGAAATGGAGGGAGTACTAATATAATATTACTAATATTAACCAATTAGCTATTTGTAGCCAAAAAATATCAAATTTTTGCTTTTTTTTGAGTGGATGCTATTAGAATAGATTGGGTATATCTTAAGGAGTTTTGAATCTCAGTTTTGGGATGATTTGGTGAAGTTTTGAGGTGGTTTGAATTAAAAATTCGAAGTAAAAACTGAATATGAAAAAAAATATATATATGTGTATCATTTGTGTATCACATATGTATCATGTTTGTATCAATTGTGTATCACATGTATATCCATGTATACATGTGTTTGAGATACATATGTGATACATGTTTGATACATGTGTCGCAGAAGAATTTTTTGAACTCGATTTAATTACGAATTTTGATACAAAACCAGTCCAAATCACCTCCAATCTTCCTCAGATTTTGTATATTGACTTATCTATATGTTTTCAATGAATTTCAACTATACTCATTAAAAAAGAATTCCTTTTTTGTTTAGATTTTTGGAATATTGTATTTTATTTTATTTTTGTATTTCATCACCTTATTTGCTAGCTCATCCATGAAATTTCCTTTCCGTCTTACATCTAGTGTTGCTAATCACGCTTAAAATATATGGAAGATGATTTTTGCATGTGATTCTTTGAGAGAAAGAGCCTTATTATTTGGTTTTTTAATTTTTATATATGTTTGGCTAGTTTTGGTAAGTCTATGACTAATTACTAGAGGTTGGTAAGTTGAAACTTATTTGGGACATTTGTCTAAGTTTCCCAATAAATTTTCAATTGTATAATATGCTACTATTTTTTGAACGAACTTAGGGGTCGTTTGGTAGGGTGCATAAGAATAATGTTGAATATGGTGTATTAGTAATGCTGGTATTAGTTATACTTGCATTAGTTATGCTAGTATTAGTTATGCTGACATATTTCTTATCCATTATTTGGTTTGATGTATTAAAGTATTGCACAATTTCTAAAAGAATTATTTGTTTACAAAAATGCCCTCAAATCTAGTCCACACTCTAACTTTTTAAAAGAAATATATGTTGAGAAATATTTTTATATGAAAAAGTTTTAAAAAAAATTATTTTATTTGTCTACCTATGTTGTAAAATAAAATTAAATATTTATTTATAAGAAAAGAAAATATGCTAAGTATTTATTTATTTACTAGGGATATAATTTTATTTCTCACTATTTGGATTATTTTGAACTTGCATTAATATATTAACTAGTATATTTTAATAAAACATAAATTTTGAAGGACAATTTTGTCTTTAACTAAGCTGATGCATGCATTAAAATCCATTGCATTGCTAATACCATTATTTTCTATGCATTAGTTATGCATAGGATAATACCAAATAGGATGTATAACTAATGTCTGCATAACTAATGCATAGATTCAAAATATCTACCAAACAATGTATTATTAATACACAAAGCTAATGCATGCATTAATTTATCTAATGCATCCTACCAAACGACCCCTAATAGAGAAAGTATGTCATCTAAATTGAAACAGTCTAATTTCAATTGGACGGATCTCGATTAGATGACCTGGAATCTGAGTTGACTCAGCAGGGTCCACTCATACAAACCCGATCTATCTGGAAACTGGGTCTACAGTGTAAAGCGGCATCAACCGAAGTTCCTTACGAATATTGACACGAAAGCTTTTAACAGCTCAGCCAATCAGATATGAGTTTCACCTTCCTCCGGTCTTAGTGATCTTTTGGTTTTTTTATGGTCTAAGATATTTTTTTTTATATTTTAAGAATGAATTAATTATTTTTTTTTATATTTCTCTTGGAGTAAATAGTGTTGGAGTATGTGTTACAAGTGTTCATGTGAAGAGATAGTAAAGGTTAATAAGGTCAATTTTATTGCTAAAATATTAAAAGGTTAATTTCTTAATTTGTGTGAAAATAGTCAAAAAATCACTTATTGTGGACCAGTGAGAGTATCATTTAATTTGTTGTCCATAATAATCATCTTGTTTAATTTTTGGACTGTTAATATGAAAACCATATTTAGCAATAATACATACATGACCTCCTAAACTTATCCGATCCTTTTATTTTGACATATGAACTAAGACTAGTAACTATTAAACACTTATACCAATCAACATTTATATTTATTAAACACTTTTACTAACACGACATGTAGCGTGTAATTCAGTAAGAAATGGCGCGTGAAGAGTTCAAAAGATAATATATAACTGTAACAAGTAGGAGTAATATTTAACCGATATATATGTTTTTCAGTGTATAATCTACGCATATTTTTTATGTACATAAAAGGCAGTTTGATGGATTAAGTTTTCATTATATGCGGGATTCGATGAAGAATCGGAACTCAAGAATTTATTATTTGCAGTCTTAACCTGCATTTCTATAAGATACTGTTTCCATGGCTCAAACCCACGACCTCCCGTTGACATGACAACAACTTTACGCTTGTGCATATTTTCGGTGTACATAACTCCATATAATTTACTATAGCAGAAAAACATTCTTTTTCTCATCCCGAACCAATTTTAAAATGAGGACAAAACTGAGTTGTCAAATACAGCAAAGAAAACAGTAGTCCTAGTTTGTAGTCTCTGCAATGTTCTCATCCTTTAAGCCACCCTCAGCCTTCTCTTCTTTCCCCTTCTTCTTTCTTCTACTTATAATAACTTCCCAATCCCCAAACTATCAATAATACTTGACCTTCCCCAATTTTACTGTTTTATTAGCCTATTAACGGCCTTGTTTTTTGAGTAGAAAATGGCGGATGAAAACGTTCATAAGGTGATAGATGGTTTGCCAGCACCTGCTACACCTCCGGCAGCCGGAGATGGAGAGAGCCAAGCACCGGGAATCGGCGCCGGAGTGTCCAACATCGTCAGAAGGTGGAAAAGAGAAGATTTGGTGAAGAGGGGTTCTTTAGTTTTGCATGGTTTTGGCTTGGTTTTTTCATTGATTGCTTTCATTGTCATGGCTAGCAATACTCATGGTGATTGGAAAGATTTTGATCGATATGAAGAATACAGGTATACACTTCATTTGGACCATAATCGTGATTTTTTTTTTCTTCTTTGAATTAAAAAAGGTATAGGCAATATCAATTTGTTTTGACTAAGTTTTAGTTATGTTACTATGTTAATTTATTTTAGATCCTATATGTTTTAGGAATCTTTTAGTTCAGTTGGAGGTTTATATGAAAGTAGAAAAAGTCAAAATACAGAAACAAACACTTAAAAGTTCGTCTCAACTATTAGTCTCACGCTCCAATTTACCAATTTACCAAGTGACCATATAGACACCTCAACTTGACACAAATATGTCTCGTGGACCTATTCCGCTAACATGGCCAAAATGTTTGACCTTCACGTATCTTTGGGCGCGTGAAGGCTCTTAAAGTTACATTTTTTTCTTATTCTTTTGTGTGGACCCCAATTTCTTCATCCGTAATCAAGCCATAACCAGCACCAGCCATCTGCCACCATCGGCACCACCACTTTGGCAACCGACTTTCCTATCTGGCTATCTCCATCATTTTAAGTGTATGTTTCTGTATGGGTGTCCACGAGATATATTTGTGTTAAGTTGAGATGTCTATATGGTCACTTGGTAAGTTGGACAGTTGCGGTCAACTTAAATGTTTGTTTCTGTATTTTGCCTTGAAAAAATATATAGAAATTTTCAGATATTTTTCATTTTTATATTTAATTATATATATTGCATAATATTGGATGAAATGAGTTTGGGAGATGTAGTAGTAATTTCTAATCTTGGAAATTAAATTGGATTTTTGGGATGTGGTTATAACAGGTATGTGTTGGCTATTGCAATTCTGTCCACATTATATACAGGATTGCAAGTTCTGAGACAAATTCATGAACTTTCAACTGGCAAGGAATCATTTTCACGGCAGAAATTAGCTTTGCTAAGCTTCATTAGTGATCAGGTTAGTAATTTTCTATATTTACATGAAACAATTAAATTCAATAAACTTGAAAAAGGAAGAGTAATTCTTGATTGAATTTTGATCTAAAATTTTATGGGAATTGCAGGTAGTAGCATACTTGTTATTATCAGCTGCATCATCTGCTGTGCCATTGACAAATAGGATGAGAGAAAATAGTGACAACATATTCACAGATTCTTCAGTAGCAGCAATTAGTATGGAGTTCTTGGCATTCTTTGCTTTGGCAGTGTCAGCTCTGATTTCTGGATATAAGCTCTCAAATAAATCCTACATCTGATGAGATCATAAAGATATTCTGAGTCTGATTATTCTGCCTATGTACAGGGGCGGCTGTAGAGTTCCATCACCGGTTCATCTGAACCTCAATATTTCCTGTTTGCTGAACCTGTATGTTAAAATTCAGAGTGTAAATTGATCTGTACATATGTATCAAAGCTGCAGAGAGGTTATTCCTTCTCCACATCTCATAATATTTGTTAAACTTACTCCATTTACATATCGTTTGGTCTTGCATTGAGATATAGATTAATTTTTCTTTTGGAAATTAAAATTATAACTAGATAGAAATTTCATTTAGATTGTTGACAGAAAATTGCCGTGAGAGAAAATTACTTCTGACCCTATAATAGAATGTAAATCAGCGAAAATGGAATGAGGGAACATTTATTTAGTTTCTCAATTCTTTTTGTTCTTCACCGGTGTCCGCTAGTTGCTGTGTGGCCCGACTAATTCGAATTTGCGCTAGAAGGTCTCACTATAGATGGTAAAACGCTCTCTACCAAAGGCTATTCCATTCCCAGGAGTTGAAACCAAGACATTAGTAAAGCGCTCTCTTCCAAAGGAGACTCCATTCGCAGAACTTGAACCTGAGATATCTGATTAAGGATGAAGAGGTACATCGGTCGGGTTGTCAACGATTACGACCATTCAAAGGCATCTTTCCTCAATTCTTCCATAACATAAGAGGGCGGGCTTGCGCACAAGCCGAATGACATAGGTGCACAAGAGTACTTCGCGCCACAACCATCTCCTTTTTATAGGTTCTTCGGAGCAATGCATGCTGCTTGCCGCTTCATCTGGGTGCATAGTTTAGCTAGAAAGTTGTGAGACTACACTTTCTGCTGTTCTTTTTTTCCAGAAAACCGAGTGACGTTTTAAGGCAAGAGAAAAGCTTCTTGTAGTAATTTTTTTTAAAAAAAAATTAAGTAGAAAGTAATAAACGATTCACAAAGCAGTCATCGAAACATGGTTTTCTCAATCTGTTCAATCCATCTATTTGTGACAAAATTGATCTAATGCCAGGTAGGGCAATGCTGAATGGCAAATTACTTTCCCTCTTCTTTGGAATTTACAGAGTATTTAAAGAGTACATATGAACAAGTTGCAGACGCGAAACCGGAAAAACAGGCACCAGAAATAATGCACCTAATGCCAGATAAAGTGCTAACAGATGAACAAATGACCTGACTAGAAAGCTTTGGGACGACGATCCATTCGTCACAGGCCACCAGCATAAATGGCTCAAACGGTTGACTTTAATCTTCATCTAAATTATCCAGCTGAATTTTCCAGCATATTGGATCTACTTCAGCCTGTGTTTAACCAATAGGATTAAGAAACAAGATATTTTCATTATTACAACAATGATAATTAAAGCAAAAACGTGTTTTAGATCAAACAATTCGGAGCTATTGTCATCTTTAGCTAAACTATGCAATTCTAATTGATTCACGCTACAATGTATTTCTGACGAACACAGAAGTGGCATGACATACTTTTCAGGGGAAATGGAAAGGGTTAGAATCATATGAGAAAAGTACCTGAAATGGTTTCTCTCTCCATTGGAACACACAACCTCGGGCTTCTAAATGTTGAAGAAGAGGTTGTGGTAGCAAAGGTTTAAATGATGTCTGCAGTTTAACTTTAGTAAGTCCGCCGCAAGCCAAAAGTGCAGCTCCTAGTCCACCGGGAGACAAACCTTTCAGGTGTAGGATTGTAATGTTCTGCAGACTGCTGATGCTGGCAAGAGACAACAGCCCTACGTCCGTCACTGAAGTGTACGATAGATTTATCTGTGTATGTGACGGATGACCAGCTATTATTAGATGCCAATGCTTCACTCCGTCGAACATTACATTCAATGAAAGAGAAACTGTAGTTACCTGTTTGAGGTTAAGCGA